CCTCAGGTCACAGGACTAGTTTCAATAGCAGGGAAAAGGCTGGTTTAGCTGCACCTCCAGCATACACACAAGGGGGACAATACCCTCAGGTCACAGGACTAGTTTCAATAACAGGGAAAAGGCTGGTTTAGCTGCACCTCCAGCATACACACAAGGGGGAAATAACATCAGGTCACAGGACTATTTTCAATAGCAGGGAAAAGGCTGGTTTAGCTGCACCTCCAGCATACACACAAGGGGGACAATTCCCCCAGGTCACAGGACTAGTTTCAATAACAGGGAAAAGGCTGGTTTAGCTGCACCTCCAGCATACACACAAGGGGGCAATAACATCAGGTCACAGGACTATTTTCAATAGCAGGGAAAAGGCTGGTTTAGCTGCACCTCCAGCATACACACAAAGGGGACAATACCCTCAGGTCACAGGACTAGTTTCAATAACAGGGAAAAGGCTGGTTTAGCTGCACCTCCAGCATACACACAAGGGGGACATACCCTCAGGTCACAGGACTAGTTTCAATAGCAGGGAAAAGGCTGGTTTAGCTGCACCTCCAGCATACACACAAGGGGGACAATACCCTCAGGTCACAGGACTAGTTTCAATAACAGGGAAAAGGCTGGTTTAGCTGCACCTCCAGCATACACACAAGGGGACAATACCCCCAGGTCACAGGACTAGTTTCAATAGCAGGGAAAAGGCTGGTTTAGCTGCACCTCCAGCATACACACAAGGGGGACAATACCCTCAGGTCACAGGACTAGTTTCAATAACAGGGAAAAGGCTGGTTTAGCTTCACTTCCAGCATACACACAAGGGGGACATACCCTCATGTCACAGGACTAGTTTCAATAACAGGGAAAAGGCTGGTTTAGCTGCACCTCCAGCATACACACAAGGGGGACAATACCCTCAGGTTACAGGACTAGTTTCAATAGCAGGGAAAAGGCTGGTTTAGCTGCACCTCCAGCATACACACAAGGGGGACAATACCCTCATGTTACAGGACTAGTTTCAATAGCAGGGAAAAGGCTGGTTTAGCTTCACCTCCAGCATACACACAAGGGGGCCAATACCCTCAGGTCACAGGACTAGTTTCAATAGCAGGGAAAAGGCTGGTTTAGCTGCACCTCCAGCATACACACAAGGGGTACAATACCCTCAGGTTACAGGACTAGTTTCAATAGCAGGGAAAAGGCTGGTTTAGCTGCACCTCCAGCATACACACAAGGGGGCCAATACCCTCAGGTCACAGGACTAGTTTCAATAGCAGGGAAAATGCTGGTTTAGCTGCTCCTCCAGCATACACACAAGGGGGACAATACCCTCAGGTCACAGGACTAGTTTCAATAGCAGGGAAAATGCTGGTTTAGCTGCACCTCCAGCATACACACAAAGGGGGCCAATACCCTCAGGTCACAGGACTAGTTTCAATAGCAGGGAAAAGGCTGGTTTAGCTTCACCTCCAGCATACACACAAAGGGGACAATACCCTCAGGTCACAGGACTAGTTTCAATAGCAGGGAAAAGGCTGGTTTAGCTGCACCTCCAGCATACACACAAGGGGGACAATACCCTCAGGACACAGGACTAGTTTCAATAGCAGGGAAAAGGCTGGTTTAGCTGCACCTCCACCATACACACAAGGGGGCCAATACCCTCAGGTCACAGGACTAGTTTCAATAGCAGGGAATGTAGAGTTAAAAGGAGGAAAAATTAGGCCACAGGCTTCCACCCCAAAGAAAGGAAGAGAACCACACTTAGACATGGACGGCTATGGGGGACTGAGGGGCATAATAGCAGACCTAGAAAATTATGGGATAAGTGAACAAAGTGATGATGGGCGAAGTGAGTGGGACGATACAAGTAATGAGGGAAGTGAAGAACTAAGACAGGGTGCTGACTCTGACCAAGAGTCACAGCATGGGGCTACGGGAGGCAAATCAAAAAGACAATTGAGAAACAGAAAGACAATAAAAAAGCCAGATAAATACAAAGCTCAATGTCCCATTTTGGTAAAGGGAACACGGGTTCACTATGTGCCCCGGGGATCTCAGGACCTGGAAGGCCTGGTGACTAGACTGCCAAGCATGCATGAAGGAGCAGGAAAATGGATTAGAACATTTGAAGAACAAACAATGGGGAAACTACTGGGGGTGGGGGCCTTGAAAATGGAGGACATGATGCTGATGAGTGGCCTTAGAAGGGCGGTGCAAAGTGGGATGCTGGATGGAGAGACATTTGATAATTACAGGCCACGACTATGGCTAACTCTGAGAACAGAGTATCCAGCCAAAATAGACCCTAAAGCACTGAGAGGGGAACCATTGGGGGATAAGGAAAACCCGGCAAGTTACCTGGACGACCAGCTGAAAAGGTGGTGACAAGAAACAGAAAGAGACCCAGAGGGGGATCCACTGATGACAACACTGTCCAGGACATCATTGATGGGAGCGATGCCAACGCTTGTCAGAAGCAGACTGGAAGATGTGTTGGGACTAACATCAAAGTCACACAAAGAGTTCTGTGACCATGTTATCCACGCAGTGGAAAAATACAGGAAGGTCGAACAGAAACGGACAGAGCAGGGGAGACACATTCAGAGAAAACTGACACAGATGCAGCTGGAAGAGCTGACAAGAAAGGACAACAAGAAGACAGAGGGCACCATGGCAACCTGTCGTCCAGGGAGGTCAACAACCTCCACCTCAACCAGCAAGGCCAAAAGAGCTCCTGCCACACCAGTAGTGAATGTATACACACAACAATCCCCTGGGCAGTGGCAAAACCAAAATAATGAAAACGGACCCAGAAATCAAAGGTACCGACCACAGCAGCAGACACACCAGAATGGTGGACCAAGAAGACCAGGTGTCTGCTGGAGGTGCAATCAATCAGGACATACAAGAAGGAATTGTCCTACCAAACTGTGGTGGCCTAGGCAACCACAACAATGTTCATTTCTCTACCAGAAGCCACCTCCAACATTGTTTTAGAGAATTTGGCAGTACGTCCATCCGGCCTCACAACCGCAAACCACGTGTATGGTGTTGTGTGGGCGAGTGGTTTGCTGATGTCAACATTGTGAACCGAGTGGCCCATGGTGGCGGTGGGGTTATGGTATGTGCAGGCTTAAGCTACGGACAACAAACACAATTGCATTTTATCGATGGCAATTTGAATGCACAGCGGTACCGAGATCCTGAGGCCCATTGTCATGCCATTCATCCGCCGCCATCACCTCATGTTTCAGCATGATAATGCACAGCCCAATGTCGCAAGGATCTGTACACTATTCCTGGAAGCTGAAGTCCCAGTTCTTCCATGGCCTGCATACTCACCAGACATGTCACCCATTGAGCATGTTTGGGATGCTCTGGATCGACGTGTACGACAGCGTGTTACAGTTTCCGCCAATATCCAGCAAATTCACACAGCCATTGAAGAGGAGTGGGACAACATTCCACAGGCCACAATCAACAGCCTGATCAACTCTATGTGAAGGAGATGTGTCGCATGAGGCAAATGGTGGTCACACCAGATACTGACTGGTTTTCTGATCCACGCCCATACCTTTTTTTAAGGTACACTACATGGGATCTTTTGTTTCAGCTCATGAAACATGGGACCAACACTTTACATGTTGCCTTTATATTTTTGTCCGGTATATACACTACATGATCAAAAGTATGTGGACACCTGCTCGCCGAACATATCATTCCAAAAATAATGGGCATTATGGAGTTGGTCCCCCCTTCGCTGCTATAACAGCCTCCACTCTTTTGGGAAGGCTTTCCACTAGATGTTGGAATTTTGCTTTGTGGACTTGCTTCCATTCAGCCACGAGCATTAGTGAGGTTGGGCACTGATGTTGGGCGATTAGGCCTGGCTCGCAGTCGGCTTTCCAATTAATCCCAAAGGTGTTCGATGGGGTTGAGGTCAGGGCCAGTAAAGTTCATCCACACCGATCTTGACAAACCATTTCTGTATGGACCTCGCTTTGTGCACGGGGGTATTGTCATGCTGGAACAGGAAAGGGCCTTCCCCCAAACTGTTGCCACAAAGTTGGAAGCACAGAATCGTCTAGAATGTCATTGTATGCTGTAGCGTTAGGATTTCCCTCAATTGGAACTAAGAGGCCTAGCCCGAACCATGAAAAACAGCCCCAGACCATTATTCCTCTTCCACCAAACTTTACAGTTGGCACTATGCATTTCGGGCAAGTAGCGTTCTCCAGGCGTCCGCCAAACCCAGATTCGTCCATCGGACTGGCAAACGGTGAAGCGTGATTCATCGCTCCAGAGAACGCGTTTCCACCCACCCTACGCACACTCACTAGACTCTATGTATACGCCATATGGTTAGTGCAAGATAGTCAGTGCAGATAGTTTGGGTACCATTAATTGACTCGTATTGCACATTCTATAGGTAAGGCTGTACAGTCCAACATGAATGTTCAATGTACACAATAGGTTGACTGGTGAGCTAATGTGGCTCATTTCAATGGTTTCAGAGTCCCGCAATTAGAGCTAAGACTAATATTTTTGTAAACTCTTTGGAATTGTAGTCTGTGGGTGTCACGGAGTAGGCAGACACCCCATTTCAGGGGTGCACACTCCATAGGTGAGGCTGTACAGTGCATATACATATGACCCCAATGCAATTATGCAGTGGGATTTGATCTGTTTTTATTTACTGTTTGTCAAATTAATTATTGTATTACTGTTTTAGTTATATAACATTCCAACCTTGTTGACAATTATCTAGTCCAAATATGGCATTATTTCACTATTTGTAACCGTTTGGATCAGTTTCAATGGGGGACTTTTATTTTGAATGCGAACCGGAAATTCTACTATTGTGGCTCATCCTTATTGTGACTAGCTTCACACAGATTTAGAATTGGAGGTGACTGTTTTGATTTCGGACACTCTTTTTGTGGAGTAAGGAAAGACATACTGACTGAACTAAATAGGTTACCCAACTCCCAGTCGTCTGAAATATGTCTAAACTACAGTTGTTTCGTGTGTTTTTAAATGAGCGCTTAACGGCGGCTGCTGTGGAGGTTTTGGGGGCAGTTGAGAAAACGGTAGTGGAGTACCAGGAGGAGAATGATCGGCTACGGAGACTGCTGCGGATCACACCAGAGATACAACTATGTAAAATAGGTTAGTATTTAGATCTACTGATAGTTAGCTATAGTTCTACTGAATTAATAAACTGGTTAGTCAAAATCACAATTTCAACCATTTTTAAAATATTGTATTTAAATGTTTTACTTTTGATTATTTACCTACCTATCTGGATGGCTAGCTAGCTACTGTAGCTACTAATTGTTCTCTCCATTTTTCTATTGGTCTAGACATCAATTAAGCTTTTAGCCGCGAATGTGTAGCCTACAAGATGTAATAAACCATTGAAACAATTCTTATGTATGATTAAATAGTTGTCTGCATATTTGATTACTTATCTGAAGCTTTTGATAGAGATATAGGCCCAGACCCAGGACCTGATGGGAATAACCAGGAAGGGAACGCTGTCTCTCTCTGCACTGTGTTAGCCAAACGGATCATATTGCAGTTTTGGAAATAGGAGACTTAAGTTGGTCAACTCTGGACTCCAAAGGCAACAAGCTCACCTCCCAGAACTCCTGTACCCCTATGGGGGGACATTAAGCATATACAGTTGAAGTCGGAAGTTTACATACACCTTAGCCAAATACATTTAAACTCAGTTTTTCACAATTCCTGACATTTCATCCTAGTAAACATTCCCTGTCTTAGGTCAGTTAGGATCACCACTTTTATTTTAAGAATGTGAAATGTCAGAATAATAGTAGAGAGAATTATTTATTTCAGCTTTTATTTCTTTAATCACATTCCCAGTGGGTCAGAAGTTTACATACACTCAATTAGTATTTGGTAGCATTGCCGTTAAATTGTTTAACTTGGGTCAAACGTTTTGGGTAGCCTTCCACAAGCTTCCCACAATAAGTTGGGTGAATTCTTGCCCATTCCTCTTGACAGAGCTGGTGTAACTGAGTCAGGTTTGTAGGCCTCCTTGCTCGCACACACCTTTTCAGTTCTGCCCACACATTTTCTATAGGATCGAGGTCAGGGCTTTGTGATGGCCACTTCAATACCTTGACTTTGTTGTCCTTAAGCCATTTTGCCACAACTTTGGAAGTATGCTTGGGGTCATTGTCCATTTGGAAGACCCATTTGCGACCAAGCTTTAACTTCCTGACTGATGTCTTGAGATGTTGCTTCAATATATCCACATAATTTTCCTTCCTCATGATGCCATCTATTTTGTGAAGTGCACCAGTACCTCCTGCAGCAAAGCAGCCCCACAGCATGATGCTGCCACCCCCGTGCTTCACGTTTGGGATGGTGTTCTTCGGCTTGCAAGCAACCCCCTTTTTCCTCCAAACATAACGATGGTGCAGTTGCAAACCGTAGTCTGTCTTTTTTATGGCGGTTTTGGAGCAGTGTCTTCTTCCTTGCTGAGCGGCCTTTCAGGTTATGTCGATATAGGACTCGTTTTACTGTGGATATACAGTGGGGGGAAAAAAGTATTTAGTCAGCCACCAATTGTGCAAGTTCTCCCACTTAAAAAGATGAGAGAGGCCTGTAATTTTCATCATAGGTACACGTCAACTATGACAGACAAATTGAGGAAATAAAATCCAGAAAATCACATTGTAGGATTTTTAATGAATTTATTTGCAAATTAGGGTGGAAAATAAGTATTTGGTCACCTACAAACAAGCAAGATTTCTGGCTCTCACAGACCTGTAACTTCTTCTTTAAGAGGCTCCTCTGTCCTCCACTCGTTACCTGTATTAATGGCACCTGTTTGAACTTGTTATCAGTATAAAAGACACCTGTCCACAACCTCAAACAGTCACACTCCAAACTCCACTATGGCCAAGACCAAAGAGCTGTCAAAGGACACCAGAAACAAAATTGTAGACCTGCACCAGGCTGGGAAGACTGAATCGGCAATAGGTAAGCAGCTTGGTTTGAAGAAATCAACTGTGGGAGCAATTATTAGGAAATGGAAAACATACAAGACCACTGATAATCTCCCTCGATCTGGGGCTCCACGCAAGATCTCACCCCGTGGGGTCAAAATGATCACAAGAACGGTGAGCAAAAATCCCAGAACCACACGGGGGAACCTAGTGAATGACCTGCAGAGAGCTGGGACCAAAGTAACAAAGCCTACCATCAGTAACACACTACGCCGCCAGGGACTCAAATCCTGCAGTGCCAGACGTGTCCCCCTGCTTAAGCCAGTACATGTCCAGGCCCGTCTGAAGTTTGCTATTGTGCATTTGGATGATCCAGAAGAGGATTGGGAGAATGTCATATGGTCAGATGAAACCAAAATAGAACTTTTTGGTAAAAACTCAACTCGTCGTGTTTGGAGGACAAAGAATGCTGAGTTGCATCCAAAGAACACCATACCTACTGTGAAGCATGGGGGTGGAAACATCATGCTTTGGGGCTGTTTTTCTGCAAAGGGACCAGGACGACTGATCCGTGTAAAGGAAAGAATGAATGGGGCCATGTATCGTGAGATTTTGAGTGAAAACCTCCTTCCATCAGCAAGGGCATTGAAGATGAAACGTGGCTGGGTCTTTCAGCATGACAATGATCCCAAACACACCGCCCGGGCAACGAAGGAGCTTTTTTTAAGAAGCATTTCAAGGTCCTGGAGTGGCCTAGCCAGTCTCCAGATCTCAACCCCATAGAAAATCTTTGGAGGGAGTTGAAAGTCCGTGTTGCCCAGCGACAGCCCCAAAACATCACTGCTCTAGAGGAGATCTGCATGGAGGAATGGGCCAAAATACCAGCAACAGTGTGTGAAAATGTTGTGAAGACTTACAGAAAACGTTTGACCTGTGTCGTTGCCAACAAAGGGTATATAACAAAGTATTGAGAAACGTTTGTTATTGACCAAATACTTATTTTCCACCATAATTTGCAAATAAATTCATTAAAAATCCTACAATGTGATTTTGTGGAGAAAAAAAATCTCATTTTGTCTGTCATAGTTGACGTGTACCTATGTTGAAAATTACAGGCCTCTCTCATCTTTTTAAGTGGGAGAACTTGCACAATTGGTGGCTGACTAAATACTTTTTTCCCCCACTGTACACAGGGTACCAGTATCGCTATATACATGGGGTACCATTATAGCTGTATATAACTATGCTCTGACAGTTCATTATATGGACCTCCTAGAACTACTAGTAGGAATTTGAGTTTTATCAATATGTGAGTTAAGTTTTGTCCTCTAAATTTGTGATTCCATTCAACACTACAGTGAATGTCAATGTTTGTATATCTGTATCAAGGCTGTATAGCTAGGTAACCTCTGGATCAAGGCTGTATAGCTAGGTAACCTCTGGATCAAGGCTGTATAGCTAGGTAACCTCTGGATCAAGGCTGTATAGCTAGGTAACCTCTGGATCAAGGCTGTATAGCTAGGTAACCTCTGCTCCTCCTCTCCTTCCCTCCAGACTCCCTGCAGCTCTCTGTCTCTGAAGAGGAGGTTCCCCCTGAGCAGCAGCACTGTGAGCAGGAGTGGAGCCCCAGTCTGGGGCAGGAGGACCCAGAGCCCACACAGATTAAAGAGGAACAGGAGGAACTCAGGACCAGTCAGGAGGAAGAGCAGCTTCAAGGGCTCTTTGATACCAAAGACTCTATATTCTCTCCTCCTTGTGTGAAAAGTGAATATGATCAGGAGGACCCACTTCACGTAGACATACTAGCTGAATACCCAGCTCTGAAAACATCTAAGCTACAGTCGTTTTGTGTGTTTTTAAATGAATGTTTAACGGCATCTGCTGCTGTGGAGATTTTCGGGGCAGTTGAGAAAATGGTAGCAGAGTACCAGGAGGAGAATGATCGGCTACGGAGACTGCTGCGGATCACACCGGAGATACAACTATGTAGAATAGGTTCGTATGTAGATCTACTATTATCTAACTACAGCTCCACTAAATTAATAAACTGTTTAGGCTTTGTGATCACCATTTCAAAAATGTAAGCAGTTTTGTAAAACAATTTTTACTTTTACAGTGAATGGATAATAATAGTCCTGACGTGGTAGTAGTCTTTCCCTTGCTTGGACAGCAGCTTCACATTTTTCCAATTACAAAAACCTATATGTCCCCTGCCTGTCACGAATGTTGAGTAAAATTCTATTTGAATTTAGTCTGACAATTTTCCCGGAAAGCTGGTCTTTATGTTGGCGGCAGGTAGCTTAGTGGTTAACAGCGTTGTGCCAGTAACCGAAAGGTCTCTGGTTCTAATCCCCGAGCCGACTAGGTGGAAAATCTGTCGATGTGCCCTTGAGCAAGGCACTTAACCCTAATTGCTCATGTAAGTCGCTCTGGATAAGAGTGTCTGCTAAATGACTAAAATGTAAATGTAAATGCTGCACTTCTGACTCCAGTGCTACATTGGAGTTATTCAACGTCCATTTTGATTAGCTGAGGACGATGATTTGGTCAAGTGTGATACGCTTTATCTAGAAACAATCGATGCTTGATTGCTATACGGTTTTGGAAACCTTGAACACTCAACTTAATTACCATCCAAAATAACTTTACAAATACAAAAGATACGCTTACTGTTAGCTGTTTTACCACTGAGGTGTTTTGTGTTCCCTCCTGGGTTGCCATTAACGCAGGAAGTGTCGTAGTTCAGGGAAACCTGCAACGCAAAACAACTCAGTGGTAATGTGTTAAAACAGTGCACAGTAAGTGAATCTTTTATATTAGTAAAATAATTTTGCGGCACCACAGGAGGTTGGTGGCACCTTAATTGGGGAGGATGGGCTCGTGGTAATGGCTGGAGCGGAACTCGTGGAATGGAACCAAATACCTCAAACACATGGTTTCCATGGTTTCCATTCCATTCGCTCCGTTCCGGTCATTATTATGAGCCGTTCTCCCCCTCAGCAGACTTCTGTGGTGTGGTGATATGAAAGTAAAGTTTCTAAGGTTTCCAAAACAGTTGTTATTAAAACAGCCAGTCAGCTGATTCTATCCTTCTGGTTAGTTCTAGTCAAGCAGCTTAACATGCTGACTAGGCCGGGCGCGCGCGCGCGCATGTTGATTTTGTCCATCCACACCAGACGCGATCAGGACACGAAGGTTGAAATATCAAAATGAACTCTGAACCAACTATATTAATTTTGGGGACAGGTTGAAACACATGAAACATTCATGGACATTTAGCTAGCTAGCTTGCTGTTGCTAGCTAATATGTGCTGGGATATAAACATTGGGTTGTTATTTTACCTGAAATGCACAAGGTCCTTTTTTCTGGATCTTTGTAGAATTTTGAGTCACACAAAATCGTGTGTTTTCTACTCCGACAATTAATACACAGATAAAAGGGGAAACCTAGTTAGTTTCTAGTAATCTCTCCTTCTACTGTGGACTTTATATGGCGGTTGGCAACCAACTTTAAGGTGCATTACCACCACCAACTGGACTGGACTGTGGACCTCAGTTCTTCTTTCAATCACCCACATGGGTATATGTTCCCAAAAACCAATGAGGAGATGGGAGAGGAGGGACTTGCAGTGCGTCAAGCGTCACAAATAGAACCAAGTTCAATTTTAGCGCCTGGCTACGCAGACGCTGGGTGCGAGTAGTGGGATGTAATGATTGAATAACATGTATGTGTACATTTATTTAGCAACGATCGCGCACACAACGTGGGCCGTGTGGTCAGCACGTTAGTCTCCCATTCAGAGGACCACCACTTTCCTTTAGTTCTTATTGGTCAAGGTCACGCCAGTCAGTATTATGTTAGCCTATCAGCAGTCAGTATTCCCGGGATGTTCGGTGTAGGACACTAGCAAGAGCATACCAAAGACAGTACAGTATGACGATAGGCAGAACGTTTTCTCACCACCAAATATGGTAGTGAGAGGAAGTCCAGTAGGGGTTAGTGAGAGGATGGAACTAGGTGAAACTGGGCTGACATTCTGCTAATTTTCTCACCAATGAAACATCTGATCTCAATATTTTTCTGTTCCCAAAACTAGAATCTGTTACAAACACAGTGCACTAAGTTTTGTAGACTTGACGATTTGCCAAAGTTTAAAATAAATGTTGTTTAGAAGGAGTGGAACTTCGAATTGGGGTTTGTGCACTTCACAGAGGAGGCGTTCACTAAAGGAAATATGCAAATACATTCTACAACGTGCCAATAGGATCTCGCTACTTCGAGCTTGGCTCAGCCCCCCCTCCTTGCTTGTTCTGACCACTATGCTTCACTAGTGATGGGGGAAACTAAGCTTCCTGAAGGTCTTCCAGCCAATTGTGCCGAAAATAGGTTCATTATTCGAGGCTTTGGTCAACACAGTTTACAGTAGTGGGACCTGCTGGTCAATTTATTTTACAGCAGCCAAATTATTATCTACGACGTCCCTGTAAGGCGTTCGCTGCGTAGCCTTTTTGTCTTCTACCAAACCAATCAGGTGGTTGTTCGACGAAACGAAGCTTCAGACGTCATTGATCACGTGCTTCTGATAAAGTGATACAGGCATCAGCACACTGCTTCGAAGTACACTGCTAATGCCTCGATCACACCGACAGCGTCATTGCGTAAAATGGTAAGCATCATCGGTGTACTGCGAGCATGCGCTGACCAACTGGCAAGTGTCTTCACTGACATTTTCTGCATGTCCCTGACTGAGTCTGTAATACCAACATGTTTCAAGCAGACCATCATAGTCCCTGTGCCTAAGAACATTAAGGTAACCTGCCTAAATGACTACCAACCCGTAGCACTGATGGTCTGCAACCATGAAGTGCTTTGAAAGGCTGGTCATGGCTCACATCAACACCATTATCCCAGAAACCCTAGACCCACTCCAATTTGCATACCGCCCCAACAGATCCACAGATGATGCAATCTCTATTGCACTCCACACTGCCCTTCCCACCTGGACAAGAGGAACACCCACTTGAGAATGCTATTCATTGACTACAGCTCAGCGTTCAACACCATAGTGTCCTCAAAGCTCATCACTAAGCTAAGGATCCTGGGACTAAACATCTCCCTCTGCAACTGGATCCTGGACTTCTTGACAGGCCGCCCCCAGTTGGTAAGGGTAGGTAACAACACATCTGCCACGCTGATCCTCAACACTGGGGCCCCTCAGGGGTGCATGCTCAGTCCCCTCCTGTACTCCCTGTTCACCCATGACTGCATGGCCAGGCACGACTCCAACACCATCATTAAGTTTGCTGACGACACAACAGTGGTAGGCCTGATCACCGACAACGATGAGACAGCCTATAGGGAGGAGGTCAGAGACCTGGCCGTGTGGTGCCAGGATAACAACCTCTCACTCAACGTGATCAAGACAAAGGAGATGATTGTGGACTACAGGAAAGAAAAGAGGATGACAAAGCCTATTCCCCCTCAGGAGACAGAAAATATTTGGCATGGGTCCTCAGATCCTCAAAAAGTTCTACAGCTGCACCATTGAGAGCATCCTGACTGGTTGCATCACCGCCTGGTATGGCAACTGCTTGGCCTCCGACCGCAAGGCACTACAGAGGGTAGTGCATACGGCCCAGTACATCACTGGGGCCAAGCTTCCTGCCATTCAGGACCTCTATACCAGGCGGTGTCAGAGGAAGGCCCTCAAAATTGTCAAAGACTCCAGCTACCCTAGTCATAGACTGTTCTCTCTGCTACCGCACGGCAAGCGGTACCGTAGCGCCAAGTCTAGGTCCAAAAGGCTTCTCAACAGCTTCTACCCCCAAGCCATAAGCCTCCTGAACATTTATGCATAGTCACTTTAACTCTACCCACATGTACATATTACCTCAATGACCTCGACTAGCCGGTGCCCCCGCACATTGACTCTGTACCGGTACCCCCTGTATATAGCCTCCCTACTGTCATTTTACTGCTGCTCTTTAATTATTTTATATTTTTGACTTATCTATTTTTGACTTAACACTTATTATATATATATTATTATACTAACACTTATGGATCTGATTTCCTGTTATTTTTACAGTCTTTCATGTCCAACAATGAATTTGCACAAAACACTTGGAGGTCAATTAAAACCACCTGCGGGCCAAATTTGACCCGTGGGCCGCCAGTTGGTGAACCATGATTTAGTACAACCACTAGCAACAATTTAAGACTACTTGCTAAAAACTGGACCAAAGCTATTGTACTGACACATAATTGATGAAAATGCGGACGATAGAGTAAAGACGCGCTTCCCCTCTGCTTCTCCGCATTCTCAAAACAACGCGCTCTGTGTAGCAAGTAGAACGTCACATTGACACGATGTTGCTGGCAAAGCAACGCGCAGCGTATAGTGGAGCTAAAGCGTTAGCTAGCTCACACACCTCAGCTAGCGTTAGTGTTAGCATTTGCATTAAGAATGAATGGGCATTTAGCATGCTAGTTAGAGATGCTAGCCTTTTTAGCATTAGTCATTTTGTGGCGCTGCTAGGCTATTTCTATTGGTGTAAATCGCTCATACATATGCTGTTTATGTTATGTAGATGTACCTACACTCTTGTACTGTTCATTTAGTACATTTCCCTACGTTTAGCATGTCTGCAAGCCCATTAGCCTGTTTGGTCCATTGGAATGTGACTAGGCCTATGCCTGTTGAATTGTATAGCAGGTACTTTACCTGTGCAGCCTTGTACAGTGTTTTTATGGGGGGCATAAAATATAGCAACGCTATAATCTAAGTTTTAATGTCAGTTCTCACTGGATAGGATTCTCAGTTATCTGAACCAAGAGTGGTCAGATGTGTGTGAATCTGGACACCTCCTTCAATTAAACCCCCCCTTAACCTGGATATCTACTTCAATTAAACCCCCCCTTAACCTGGACATCTCCTTCCATTAAACCCCCCCTTAACCTGGACATCTCCTTCAATTAAACCCCCCCTTAACC